CTTTCTTTTGTATAAAGCATTTGGGGGGAAAGAAGAAGGAAGAGATTTGTTCAGAAAAGGTGCAAGAGAAGCCTATAGCCTGCAACAGGCTTCCGAGGGGGAGTTCCAGGCTGGATTTCTAGGTGTGCTAGTCTTTCCTCATTTATGGTAAGGTCATCCTGGGATCGTCAAAATCAGATAATTTGTATATGTATGTATGTATGTGTGTATATATATATATATATATATATATATATATATATATATATATAAAATTAGGGTGAAAGTTTACAGAGCAAATTCATTTTCCATACAGCAGTTCACACACATTTTGTTTCATGACATTGATTGCAATCCCCACAACGTAACAGCTCTCTTCCCACTTCCTTCCTGTAGTTACCTCTTCCCTGTGTCCTTCTTTCCTATGCATTCCTGCCCCCTGAGCTATCTCCCTGTGCAAATACTGCCCTTCTGTTCTCCCTTGGTTGATGGTTCTAAGGAGTGTATCTGCCTGATGTAAATGTTCACCCTGTGTGCCTGTCTGTTGTTTGGCTGGAAGCCACTGGACAGACTTCATTTACAGTCCTGAAGAGTAACTAGGAGCCATAGTCTCAGGAATCTCACCAGGCTTCATCAGGTGGTAAAAAAAATCAGGTAAATTTTAATCAAATTGAAGTAACAATTTTACATGTCAGAGAACAGTTTCAAATATTTAGAAGTAATTTTTTTAAAAATCGTATGATGGAGAAACTTTTGAGAGGCTAATCCTACCTGTTGTTTATGAACATGGAGCCTTTTGTTCTTCCACATCAGGGGATTGTGCTGCAGTTCTTTCTCAAGGGCCAACTTTGAAGTTGAGTGTAAAGATTCTAATGCTCGCTAAGAATCTTACTGAACAGAAAAAGGGATTTAGTTTATGAGTTAGCCAGGAAGTGCTGGAAAAGTTAGGTTACGTCATTTTAATACAGATGGGTAGGGACTATGGGGGTTGATATGTTTAAGAAAGTGATTTGAAGAATTCTTTAAAAATTACTCCCTCCCTAAAAGTCTCTCTTGGCAGCTTGCTATGGTGCCCATATAATTCATTTATTACGCCGTCTTCAAGGTGACCTTAGAAAATGCAGTGTCCAGGAAGGAATAAAATAACCTGTCATACAGTTCCCTTAAGGTGTCAGTGTCTTATTTATTGCTGGGAAGCCAGGAAAGGATAAGGAGATGGTGCTGAACTTAAGATAAGCTTTTCTTGCTTTGTCATTATGCCAAGCATGGACACCACCGAAGGAGGTGCCTCGGTCACTGGCATTTTCTGAGGTTCTTGGCGCTTCCTGAGGGTGGAGATGGAAAAGCTATTCAAGATCTCATATTCAGGATCTCTGCAATAGACCAGTCTTCCTACCACCGGCAAGATGTCTGCATGCAACCCATCACATTGCTCAGAGTTTGGGTACAAAAGGCAGGATTCCCCACGGTAATTTTGAATGAATTGCCTTCTCCAGGTTCAATCCTTTTCAAGTTGATGGTAATTGGCCAGGAGGCTTGGGACAATTTGGACATAACAAGAATTTTTCTGTTTTTCCAAACGTATGTTTTGTCCTTGGCATTGGATCAGTATTGTTGGAATGGCTGGCTCCTCTTATCCCTAGAACTCTTCTTTGGAAACCAGCATTCGCAATTAGTAGGACTTGAAAGCAACTTGGTGAGGACCTATTCTAACACCCTCCCTTTACAGATGAGAAAACGGGAGCACCAGGACCATGGTTTAAAGTGGCAGAATTGCACAGTGGACATGGCAAAGATTTTGGAATCAGACACACCTGGGTCCAACACTTAGCAGCTATGTGAACTCGGGCAGGTTAATTAATATGTATGGCCCTCACTTTCTTCTCTTGATAATGAGAGTTCTTGGAGAAATCGTGTGTTTAAACCAGGACTCAAAGAATGAGCTCAAAAGTTAATCAGTTTATTACAATTGCTTTTGTTTGATGAAGCTAAGCCAAACCAGGATTAGGACTTGGGTGTCCAACTGTCAATCTGTTTTCACTAACCATGCTGTTTTTCATAAAATTGAGCATATGTATCATATTAAATAGTAGTAGCTCACTTCAAAGAAATTCTTACAACCTGGCTACTCCTAGGATTTTATACCTTTACAAGAATTTTTCCCGTATGGAAAAAAAAAAAATTCAAAGAAATGAAATCTAAACATCATAGAAAAATTGTGTAGGAAAGTGAGTTCTGAAATCCAGATTTCATTTTCATGTTCTAGACTCCAGTGGACGGGTCTTCACATGTCCTCATCCCACTGTAGTTCACAGAACTACCTGAGGTCTGATGGCGTCTCTTATCTGCCTGCTTTATTGTGTGTTTGCTCCCAGAGTTTATAGCCCACGATCAAAGGCAGTTTCTGTTTGGGTTTGATCGATGTTCAAAGACATTTTTCTCTTGGTCACTCTATTCCATGGCAGAAGTTCAGAATGCTTCTGTCAGTGCATTAACTTGAACATTAGGTAAGGGCAACACATGCCTTTGGACCAGAACTTGGTACATTTTAAACACAGCACGACACCTCTCTGTGGGGAGGCTTCTCTCTCCTGTTACGTGAGGTGACTATGTGGCTGGTTGCTGTCGGATTGGCTCCCACTCTTGAAGACCCCGTGTATAACAGAATGAAACATTGTACAGACCTGCACCATCCATCTTCATGATTGTTGGTGTGCTTTAGTGCATCGCTGCAGCTATTGTGTAGTGCCTTCCAACCTGGAGGGCTCATCCTCTTGCACTATGAGAATATTCTGTTGTCATCCACAAGGTTTTCATTGGCTAATCTTCAGAAGAAAGACCAGGTCTTTCCTTCTAGTTTGTCTTAGTCTGGAAGGTCTACCAAAACCTGTCCATCTGTCTGTCACTTTATCATACCGTGGTGGCTTGCATGTTGCCGTGATGCTGGACGTTATGTTGGTATTTCAGACATCAGCAAGGTTACCCATGGTGGACAAGTTTCAGCAGAACTTCCAGCTTAAAGACGGGGGTGACTGTACCTGCAAGTGAAAGCTTATCATGATAAAAGAAAAGGTTTTTGTCTGTTTGTTTGTTTTTGTTTATTTTAAATGATACCTAGCTTAGATCAATCATGATTCAACCTCTAAATCTGAAGTGCCTTCCCTAAGTGTGTTGATACTGGACAACATTGGGGTTCTCCAAACTAAGGATAAAGGAGAGACCGGATATCTGGTTATGCCTCCAACAATGTCTGCCTTACACTTGCTTGACTTCATAGTCCCTGTACCTGGCAGTGTTAGATACATGGTGGCTATATTTGGAGATTTCTGTCCAACTAAGGGAGAAGGACTTTTAAGATGGACTTCCTTCCATACATCACCTGTCCCTGATCCCTGGTAACCAGATAATCTTATCCAGGAGAAGGGGATCTTACTACCTGTTTACTGTGGGCCTTGTTTCTTTAGAGGCAACATCGCACCATATACTGGGTGCAATTGGAAAGGTTCCCTGCGTTTCACTTACTGAAGATGTAGGCGGCATACCCCTAGGCCTTTCCTTTGTGGGCACTTGAAGACCGGAAGCAGGTTAGGTTTGTTAAGGATTTGGTTGTTGACACTCTTTGCTTGCAAACCAGGGATGTGTAAGATGTGGCACAATTCCAGTGATGAAGGCATTTCCCTGGGTTCATCAGGGACTAGTGCTTTCTTATCTTGGGTGGCATAAGTTGAGGTCCAGCCCTGCCTGGTTTCCTGACTTTGACCAAATGTTTTCTTTGCTAAAGCTTTAATGACCTAGTTCTGAATACTGCTCCTTCATCACTTCATTTGATCTTCTGTTTTCTTGTTATTCTTTAAGATCTGGAGTAGCTATTGTGTGTTGGGCTTCACATGCATATCTCATTTATATTATTTCCTGCTTCTAAATATTTGGCAGTCCTCAAAAGTATGAAAACGTGACTGACCTTGATTCTTTTCTTCTCCCTGCTAAATACCCCTTGTTCCCCCTACAGATCCTGGTTGACAATCTCCCACAGCCTTCTTTGTCCTGCTCATCCATGTCTGTGTTTTCATTTTGTCAGTACTCCTCTTCATGTTCAGACTGGAAATGACACTCCGTGTGTGCTAGGAACAGACCACACTAGGACCGTTCCTGAGAAGTGGTCTTGATATTCATTAAGTGCAACATGTGAGATTGCCAGCCTGTATTTAGCGGTTACATCTTACTACCACCCAACCCCACCTCTCCACCTCCCATTCATTATCTTTTTTTCACTTTAACTGCTATGAGACAGAGGTTCCTATTCTGCAGTTATAAAGAACAAAATTTTACATTTCTCCCAATCCATATTACCCATTCTTCATCCTGGGGACTTGATTATATTGCAATTTTATGAACCATCCAGGAGTCCCTGGATGGTGTAAACGGTTAATGCTCTCAGTTACTAACTGAAAGTTTGGAGGTTCAAGGCTACCCAGGGGTGCCTCAGGAGAAGGCTCTGGTGGTTTGCGTCCTAAAAATCAACCACTGAAAGCACTGTAGAGCATACTTCTACCCTGACACACTTAGACTCACCACATGTTGAAGCCGACTTGACAGCAACTTATTTTATTTTATATATATATAGTAGTCTGGCATAATTCGGATACAAGAAATTGTTGAAAGAGTGGAGTGTTTTTGTTTTTGTTTTTGTTTTTGTTTTTAAGATACGCTAGGATTGGCTCTGTTAATAAGAAGATTCTTCTCTGACTCCCAATCTTGGGTCCTTTCATTAGTAATGACCTAATTAGTAATGACCTAATTAAATCTGTGGGTTTGTTTTAGGTTTTTGATTATTTTTAGTGTCAACAATTATATAGATTAAAAGAATATATTAAATATTGAGCATCTTTAGGAAGCTGAGTGCCTCAGTCTAGCCAAATTTCTGACCACATGGGTCCCATGTAGGCCATGGAAGGCATCTGCCTGCTGCATTGTCCAGGGAAGGTGTGTTAAGTTTTAACTCAGCACTTCTTTTGTTGCAGTTACCTGGCTGAGCAGTGCTGGAATGGCGGTTTCATCTACCTGATCATGCTGCGTCGCTTTAAGCACAAAGTCCACTCTCCTTATAATGGCAATAGTAGCAACAGCTCTGAACCAGGAGAGACACCTACCTTGGAGCTGGGTGACCGAACTGCAAAAAAAGGAAAAAGAACGAGGAAGTTTGGGGTCATTTCCAGGCATGCCACCACCAAAGCCACTGAAGAATCCAAGAGTAGTGTTGGCTATGACTTGGACAATGAACCAAGCTCTGAGCTGGACAATGGCCCAGACCCTGAACTTGGAAATGGCCATGTCTTTGAGCTAGAGAATGGTCCAGATACTCTCAAGGAGGTGGTTAGATCCCATTCAGAGAGATCAGAAGTGGACAGAGGGACAGAGCACAGAATTTCAAAGACTGATACCCTTCTTCCCCTAAGTCATGACAAACGCCGCCTCTCAAAAACCGGGAAGACGGACTTCCAGTCAAGTGACTGCCTGGCACGGGTAAGGTTTGGTTTGATCATTGAACCTGAATTTTAAAAGAAATATTATTTTGAATTTGATTTCAAGTTTTAGAAAATATATCCAAGATGACCTAGCATTTAGAAGCCATGAAATTCATTAAAATAAATGACCCAAGGTCATAACAACAACAACATTCAAGTCATTTTATCCTACTTACGTAGAAGCCAGTCCAGTGATCAGCAGTGGAAAATGCAAGCCTTCTGTGTTATAATTTGAGTCATATGAGGCCCAGATAAAGTACTTGTGCTGCATCATTATTCATCAGCTGCTGTCACCAGTGGAATTGTCACTGCTAGGCCAAGAATTCCTGGTGGCAGTTGATAGCAGAAATATCCCAGCCTCAGTATTATACAGGAAGGATGTCCTACAGGAGGGAAGCATCTGCTTTTATTTTTAACTGTTCAAAACCAGTGACATTTTCATGGGATCATGAGTATGGCTTTGCTGAATTCCAATGAAGTTTCAAAACTTCACAGAAACCTCTGACACTGTGATGCCCCTGTGATGGTCAAGGTTGGTCTTACCTAAAAGCAAAGCAGATGTAGTATATTCTGAATGGTAATGGGTAAATGTCTAGCCTCACATTGTCTTCCCCACTATAGCCAACATTGTGTTATTAGAGTTACATTTCTTTGGTTTAAGCACGTTCATTTGTAAGAATCATCTCAGCAAATCTTCATTCCTGTGGGTTCCTAGGTGGCTACTGATTGGTTTCTTCTCTGGTTCAGGAGACACTTTCTGGGGATAAAAGAGAACGTAGGAAAGGTGGATGATGGACAGAGTCATACAGATAGAGGAGGGGTCAAGAGTAGCTTTGCATGCTGGGAAATGTTGCCCTGAGAATGAGTGTAGCATCTGTTAAGGCTTGTTGTTGGGTGCTGTCAAGTCAATTCTGACTCACAGGAACCCTACAGGACTGAGTAGAACTGCCCCATAGGGTTTCCTAGGCTGTAATCTTTATGGGAACAATTTGACAAATCTAATCTTCCACAGGGTGGCTGGTGGGTTCAAGCCAATGTTTCAGTTAACAGCCAAGTGTTTAACCACTGCACCACCAGGGCTCTTATATTATCACTAGGAGTTGGAATTGACTCATAGCACACAATACAACAACTATTAAGGCTACTTAATGCATATTTCTGCAAGTTTAGCTGATTTATGTGATACATTGAAAGAATCAGAATAACCTTTCCCTCGAGAGACCGTTTTCTTTCATTTGCATCTGATGATCTTCATAAAGTCTTCTATAGAGGATACAGTCATATTATTTAAAGATAGAATGTGCAAACAAAGGAGCAGGAAAGCAATTATTAATGCCTCTATAATGATGTTCTATCAATTATGGATCCCAAAATCAAAATTAAGGGCAATAAAATATTATAATGTGCTCCTTATTTGTAAAAATATTGTAATGTGCTCCTTGTCAGTACATACAGTACCTTGACTTTTTTCAAATGGTTAGATTGTGAATCCACAGGAAGCCTAAAGTGAATAAATAAGTTAGGGGGTATTGCTTTTCTAACCATTTTGAATTTTTAAAGTACCAGAAAAGATTGAGTTTTACATATAATCCAAGGAATAGGCTTTCATTTGTCCTAAGACACAGTGGAAATGATGGTTTAAAAGGAAAAATCTTTTGGGAGAGTACCCAACCTCTATTCCTCTTAAAAGCAATTAAATAAAATTGGAATCTTGGATTAGACTGTCTGAAGACCACACATATCAGGGTTCCTTTGCCTGGTTTTTTGCAGTCAAGGCCAAATGTCCAAACAGGGTTTTTGTTTTTTTGTTTTTATGAGCCATTTGCCAACAGATAAGAGAGGCTTGCATGTGGAATTTGCATTCTTGACAACTGTCCATAAGTGATTATTCGCCCTGGGTTTTTTTCGGGTTCTGTAATTGGGGCTGGGCCATCACCTTCTCAATCACTGATATTAGTCCCCCTTTCTTTCAACTCCAAGGAGCTCTGGTGGCGTAGTGCCTAAGGCATTTTGACTGCTAACTAGAAGGTTGGCAGTTTAAACTCACTAGCCACTCTGCAGAAGGAAGACTGGACAAGCTATTTCCATAAAGATACCAAAGGGGGTAAATCTCGGAACCCAAGGGGGGTCACTATGAGTCAGAATCGACTCAGTGTCAGTGAGTGTGGTTTTTTTTTATTTCTTTCAACTCCAAAAGTGCCTTCATTCGTCGATCTGCCAGGATTGACAGAGAGCTGGGAAGAAATAGCTCTCCACATCCTAAAGGCATCCAAATTGGAACCAACTGGCCTCCACAGAAGGTTGCTTAGGTTGTTGTGGATTTTTATTTTTGCTCCAAGATAAGTTCAGACCAAGATCATGCTAAAATGGAATTTCCAGAAAAATAAAGATTAGTTATACCTCCTAAGCCTTTTGCGAGAAAAAATTTCCATTCCAACTGAATAATAGGAGATTAAACATGCCAGTGTTGTTCTGTTTGTGCTTTATTGATGATTTACTGTATCTGCAAAGACTGAAGACATTGCAGAAGAGGCTTATAATGATCATTCAAACCATTTTTGTTTGTCAGCTACTTTTTCATAGACTTATTTGTTCTAAGAAAATATTACATTAAAATAAATTGTCAAGTATTTGTTATTTTAATCTGTTCTCCTTTAATGGAGCTATGGGAAACATATTTCCTTTTTAAAAATATTTTCTTTTAAAAAGGGTATGTTTCTGTAAAATATTAGCACATTGTATGAAAGCAGATTAATTTTAAAATATAAGATAGTTGGGTCCTTCCTTTCAAATGTAAGAGTCTCCTGGGATATAGACAAACCACTTTAGAAATGAGCTCAGAATTAGTTCTTTATTCCCTTCCTAGTAAAGACCATTATGCATCTAAGATGGCAGTGTTTACCAGCCTATTTATACATGAAACGTGTGTGTGTGTGTGTGTGTGTGTGTGTTTTAATGCTGCATTGTGAAAATGAATACAACATAACCTCGTCACATAACATTAAAAAGACAACAGTTTGAGCTTATTCAGAGCTGGCATGTGGATGTCTGTGGAGGCATCTGTGGTCTTATCTGGTAGTTGTGATGCCCCCTGCACAGCCCTAGTCTTCCCTAGGCCTTCTTTGTTTGTGGATTATCAGATCCCTCATGAAGACTGGCTCAGATCTGAATCTTCAGAAAAGGATGAGAAATGTGGAAAGAGAGTCACACTTAGGATAGCCCCCAGATGGTCTCCAATGTGCTGCAAAAAGGCATGACCTGAGGCACATCAGAGCATGATCCTCTTACCTAGGAAGCCCCCATTGTCCCTGAGTGAGCTAATGACCACCTCCACAATGGTCTCCTAAGTCCATGCTACGCCTTCACCTCTCTCCTGAACCCCTGAGCTTTATTCCAACTGCCTGCAAGGTGACTCCATCTAGAATGTTTTGCATCATGCCTAAAACTCAGTGTATCTGTTTACTGCACCACCCGGCCCTCTCCAGTGTTCTGAATCTCACCATCAACAAAGTTGCCCAATCCAGAACCTGACGTTCACCTAGGGTAGTCAACCATCCTGGTTTGCCCACCCAGAATATTTCATGTCCTGGAAAACTCCTCAGTTCTGGGCAAACCCAGACAGTTCATCATCCTAGAGTCAACTGAGACACTGCCCTCTCCCTTACACCATTTCCAATCAGTCACCAAGTTCTGTCAACTCTAGCTCCTTTTCAGGTCTCTCAACTTGCCCCACCTCTCTTTACTTACTTCCCCAACTTCAGGTTCAGGCCAGGCCATTTTCGTTTCTCATCTACATGGTCACAGTAGTCTTTAATGCTTCTCATTGCCACCCCTGTCATGCCATTCATCCACTGAACCCCCCTGCAACCAGAGGGACCTTTCGAGGGGACAGATTTCTTTGCATGTGCATACACACACACACATACAACTTAAACCCTTTTGATAGATCCACTTTGCTTTTGCAATAACTTCCAAACACCTTGGTCTGGCAAATGATACCCTTCCGTATCCCTCCAACTCTCACTGCTTTCTCCCTCCTCGATTTGGACTGAAGAAGCTGCAGTTTTTTCCAAGAGGCTATGCTTTCGCCTACCTCTGAGCTTTTGCAGATGCTGTTCTCACTCCCTGGTTTCTTCCCTCCACAGCGTAGCTTAGCATCTCCCTTCCTGGGGCACTGTCCTCTCCTTCTCTGGGAGACTGTCCTGACACTCCTGCCACCTGCCCCATGGTTAGGCATCTCCCCTCTGGATTGCTGCAATGCCTCCTGCTTGTCCATCAGCATGAGTCTACATATTTCAGTTTCCATTTGGTCTTTTTCTCTCCCCAGTAGACTTTAAGGACCAGCACATTGTCTTTCTACCACCAGTTCTAACTCAGTGCCTGGCACTTGTTCAGGTCCCATAGGTATTTATTGATGAAGGAATTTGAGAGCACCAGGACTGGGAGCCAGGACATCTCAATTCTAGCCCCAATTCTTTTACTCCCAGCTTTGTGGTCTTTGGGCCGCCATGTCCTTTCTCTGGGCTTCACTTTTCTCACCTGTAAACTAAACATCTCTATTCAATGACTGAAGTACTTCCAGCTCTGAGATTACAATCACACACCTTCTCCTTTCCTTTATTTCCTACTGATGATTCTAAGTAATATGGGATAAGCAGACCATCTGAGAACAGATTTGCAGCCAGAGCATTTACTGCCGTGAATTCTAGTCAAAGAATGTGCCTCCTTGCATTTGGAGCAAAGATGCTGTTGTAAAATTTTTTATTCCAGTAGAAGGTGAGGTCATTTAATGCTGATGAGACATCTCCCTCTAATGTACCACCTCTGTTTTGGTAAATAAATCCCTTCATTTGCCTCCTTGAAGTGGTTCATGTGTGAATTCCCACAGTAATTGGCAGTTTATTGGAAAGGGTGACACCCTGACAACACTAATACAGAAGTCTATAGCATCCAGTGTTGTGTGGTTTGACTTTTCCTCAACAGGCTGCCAAAATCTCA